CAAGTTTTATCCAACCACTGTAAAGGATAAAATCAAAGAACTTTTACCTCAAACTAATTCTATTGCTCTGCCTACTTCTGAAGCTGTATCTACACCCACTACTAATGATATTTCTTTAGATTTAGAAGCACAGCCACAAAAGAAGAAACGTCTCTTAGATTTCAGTAGTGTCGTAGTCCATGGCAGTTCTACTAATGAAAATGATGTCGAATTACAAGCGTACTTTGAATACCCTACATTACATTTGAAACTGTTACCTGTTTGGTGTGAGCAAAAGGTTACATCATTATCTACTTTAGCATTACAATTACATTCAGTACCAACAAGCTCTATACCAGTTGAACGCCTTTTTTCAAAGACTGGGATTGTTTTAAGTCAGAGACGAACTCGTCTGAAAATTGGAACAATTACATTTTTATAAATAATTAAGTTTTTGTTACTTTATAACATTTTTTGTAAGTAAATGTAAATACAAGAAAGTAAATGATGCAAGTACATGCATATACATGAGAATTTTTTTATTAGTAGATGTAAATACAGAGTAGATGAAAGTTAAGTAGATGTGCATTATCTTCCCTGGGGCTGGCTAAGAGTCTTCTATGAGTAATCAGACCCTGCCCCCTGGCTGGGTCAACAAACAGAAGGGAGAGGCCTGTAATTGTCATCCACGGGGTGGATCTTGTGTGGTGGCCTTACTATCACACCAGGAAGATAACTCAGTGGAAAACCTAACCTATCTGATGCTGGAAGAGGGGTGGAAATGTATCGACAGGAGCTTCTTTTCTACGTTCCAACGTCATGAACAATGGCCTGTGTTTGCAAATGCACTGCAATTTCTAATCTGACAATGGGAAAGCCCCCTACTGATTAACCCTATTTCAATCAAGCTCTAAAATGTCAATTAATCTTACCTTAGGGGCCCCCTTTGATTCAGTTTCTCCAAGACCTGAAAGTGATACAGCGGCCACACTGCCCTAAGGAAGTGTAGTGTGGCTTAATGTATGGGCTCCACCTGCAGAACAATTGATAGAGCCCACCCTTGGGGGCTTTAGATCAATATATCCAGATCCTTCACCACCAGAAATCAAATGGGGTCTTCTGGGGGACTAATAATAGCCTTCCTTAATAAATTAATCTGGCGGGGTC